ACTCTGTGCTGCGGTTCACGGAGTGCGCTGAGATGCTAAGGTATTTACTGAGCATTTCTCAGACAGCCTCCCACGAGCTGGGAGGAGGGGACCTTTCCATGCTGAGTGCCAGTTACCTTGTCACCAGGCAGCCCGGGGATGCCTATGCCAGGTGGGCCTGCCTGCCCTTTCTCTCCTTTTGCACCTTTTTCTCCAGGTAAGCCAGGGGTACCTTGTGGGCCAGGGATGCCAGGCACGCCTTTCTCTCCAGGTGTTCCTATAAACACAAACAATTGAAACCTGATTTGAGCTTAGCTAGTGCTGGGATAACAAATGAAAAGGTGCCTCCACAACCAGCCAAGAGTGAGATACAAGAGCGCAAATCCCTCATCTATCAATTGGCTCATGACTGATCACCCAGGTCAGCCATCCAGATCACATCAGAGCCATGCTAGGAAATGTCTCTCCTGTCCTTGAAGACCATCATGTTATTAAGACAGGGAAGAAATACATTAACTGCCTAGAATATTTCCTTTCTCAACAGCATAAAAATGGATCTTATGTTTTTTATTACACAGCCAGCTCTCATTAGCCAGACATCACAGGTTCCATGAGGTGGGCGGGCCAGAGTCCATGCACACTTGGTTCTGTGATGCATGTTGGTAGCCAGGCTTACTCACACATGGGCATGATCAGCAACCTACATGCTTATACTCATAAAGTGATAACAGCACCTGCTAAAGACAGGAGGAGATGGAAAGACGGGCTTCCCATCTGAACTCTTCTGCTTTCTGAGGAGCTCTGAGGACCGTCGCCGCCCAGCCCTTCCCTCACTCTCTTCCCGGCTGCTCTCACTGCAGTAGGCACTGATGGCAAAGCATGAAGGCCAGTCCAGGATTGGAGTGGAGGAGTCCAGAGAATTCTTCTGAACTAGCACAAAGGGCTCTGGAGCCACGAGCTACTCAGGCTGACAAGCCCGGAAGAAGCCGACGTCTCCTAGGGAGCTCCTAGCTAAGGAGACGGTCACTTGGAGATCGCCAAAAGCTGACTGTATATGGCCCATGCTTTATTCCATTAGATGTTGAGTTTTCTCCATACCATCATCAAATGCTCCCCTTCCTGAGCAGGGGCCCATTCAGAGCTGAGGATGTGAATGTGTGTGAAAGACATAACCGCCTGGATTCTGTCTCCTCAGCTGAAGAGGGTCTCATTCTGCAGACGTGCCCTACCAGGGCCACAGGCATACATGCTAGAGCACCCTCTTCTACATCCGGTTTACCTGGCAAGCCCATGCCACCAACAGATCCTTTTGGTCCTGGAAGTCCTGGAGAACCTGGGATTCCACTTATGCCTGGATCACCTTTAGGTCCTAGAACAGCAAAGAAAGCAATCTGAGAGGTGGACATCTACAGAAAGAGCTGGGAACACAGGCCTCATCCCGAGCCCTTGCCACGCCGGGGACCGGAGTTCCACACCATACCTGGCTGCCCGGGCTGTCCCGCCTGCCCATCCTTTCCAGGCACTCCTGGGCTCCCAGGGTCTCCTCGGGATCCTTTCTCACCAATTGGTCCAATTTGTCCTACACATCAGAGAAGCAAATAGCAATGACCCACATTTGCTTGCAAGCAAGTTGCTGCAGAAACGCAGGCTGGTTGGTATTATTTATGGAGGACCCGATAACCCAAGAAAGGCACACGGGGCTCCAAGCTTGGCCGTGAGAAAGCTTCCTCGACTTGCCTTTCTCTCCTTGGTCGCCCTTCTCGCCCTTCATGCTGCCCATGTCCACTTTATCCATGGAGCCAGGCTTGCCGGGGAGACCAACATCACCCTTATCGCCTTTCAAGCCAGGGTCTCCCCTGGGTCCCGAGGAGCCTGGAAAGCCATGGTCCCCTGCGAGGAAAGAGAAGCCACCGGTGAGCCTGGGCCAGTGTTGCAAAGCTGGTCAGGAGGCTCACATTCTTGTTGACTGGGAGGGCAGCTGACAAAGAGGGCACAAAGAACAAACAACTTGTCCAAAATGGCATTAATGGCCAGGGTCTGAGACACAGAAGAACCTGACCCCAGGTAAACGCGCAGTAAGGCCATTTTCTGCAATTCATTATTCGCTAATAACGCTAACACATGTGACTTGGCTTCCGGCTTTAGATAACTTACATTTTCTCTCCTTGCTACACATCTTTATCACTCTTACTCATACTGCCCCCCAGTTCTATACAAAATAATAGAATACGAATTTTGTCGTTCTGCTAAGCAAATGACCTTTTCACATGTAATATTTCTTTTTGAAAGACATTATTTTGGACCGATTTCAAATAACAAGATAAGAAATAAAGATAAAGACCTGTAAACCTGTGTGGGTTGCTAACTGGAATCTAAAGACTCAGTCCCTGTGTCTTTGGCATAGCTGAAAATTCCACCATTTCTCACAAGGAGAATCACATCTGTGCCCAAGTTCCTTCTGATTTGCTTGGCTAATTACAGTTTTCAACCCTACATGCACTGAGCACCAGGAATCCTACCGGAAGAAGGGGGTCTCCTGGCCCCGTGCTTGCGTTTCTTGCATGAGACTCTTAAAATGAAGTATGATCTACGACACCTTGGGAACCTCCCAAGAGGCACAGAGAAATAGACACCAGATGAGCTTTGGGGATTATCAGCTCTCCTACCTTTTTCACCCGGTAATCCCGGAGAGCCCACTGGTCCTGGTGAGCCCGGCTGCCCAGGGGTCCCCATGACGCCCATTTCTCCCTTGGAACCTGTGGCCAAAGGAAAGGACTGTGAACATTTCCTCACTCGGAACGCTGACAGTAAATGCTGAGTCATAAAAAGAGTAAGGTGAGGCCGTGTCCTCATCATGGATCCAGACGGAAGTTACCTGGAAACCCAGGAAGCCCTGGAGTCCCCTGCTGTCCAGGAAGGCCAGGGAGACCTGACTGCCCTGTTACGCCGGGAAGTCCTTGAGCCCCTTTATCTCCTTTAGGGCCAGGCATGTCCAGTCCGGGGAATCCAGGGAAACCCTTCTCGCCTTTTATTCCAGGAGGACCTGCAGTTGGGTGAAATACAAATAACTTTCAGCAGAATGTACAGAATGATCTACAATGTACAGTGCTCCGTTTAACTATGACTGTCTTCAGGAAGCACGTGAACACGCCCACACCGGGGACTTGAATGGATCATCTACTAAGTGCTGGTGTTTGGGTCATCAGGATAATCAAATGGCTATTGTTCTAAAAGAAAGGCCCCCTCCTTCCTGTCACCGATAGTCAGCAATGACACCCTAGGTACCACCACGGCCTCTCCTCAGTATTCAGGACGAGGACTAGCGTTTCCTGAGCCCCATTCACTGAGTGTTTTACCCTAATCTCCATGCACCACCTTCACTCTGTGATTATTACTGCCAAAGGCAAAGCTAGGCTCTAGACGTGGGCTCAATTAGCGTAAATTATCCACAACTAATTAACCCTCCTATGGAAGGATGATCTAGAGACATCAGTTAGAATAAAATGTAAAACGTGATTGAGTACACAGTAAAGGAAAGGTCTCTTTGTTTGGTACATAATCTCAGTGGTTGGGAAAAAAATCTAGGACTACATTTCAGCAAACAATCATCAAACCTATTTTCACAAACTCAAGTTTTACTTTTTCTCTTTTTGTCACACATTGTGCTAAGCTTTCCTTCATGGGGACCCCAACCTCATCTCCCATGCTTCAGGAAAGCAGGCTTTTAAGAAGAGGTAATTGTAGAAGAATGTCACTCACCTGCCAACCCTGGTGGTCCCTGTCCGCCAGGGGGGCCCCTAGCTCCCGGGGGGCCTATTCCTGGAACTCCTGGAGACCCCATGGGGCCTGGCAATCCGGGAGGTCCTGGGTCACCTGGAGAAGAAAAATTGAGAATTAGCTGTGCAGGAGCAGTGGCGTGTTTCCTGGCATAGGAGACACACGCACACGAATGGCCCCAGCAACAGAAAGCCACCACCTCTAGCCCTCTAGGATTTGCATCATTCATTCAACAAATACGTATCAAGCATACTCGGCAGGGGCTCTGGGAATGCAAACATAAGCACATCCTGTCCTTGAAACTGTCCGGATTGATCTGCAAAAAGTTACCTCTGATCCCCTGAAGCCCAGGGGGGCCGATTGCTCCATGTTCTCCAGGAACACCGGGTACTCCAATGCTCCCCTTCTCCCCAGGCGTGCCAGGAATGCCGGGAATACCTGGCAAACCTTTGAGTCCCGGCAGACCAACTCCAGGCTCTCCCTGAAAATCCCCAAAGCAAACTGATTTGCAAAGTCCATATATTTATCAAACCAATAGCGTGAGTGAAGACTTAACAGACAGTGCCAATGCATTCAGTAAGAATATTCTCTGCTCAACCCTTTTCACGCCCTTGCAAACCTTCCTCACACCTATCACGTTTTCAGGCTTGTGGGTAACTTTCACTGTTTTCATTTTACAAAGGAGGAAAAGCAAGGCTCCCCGCCAATAAACGACATTCTTCTCAAGTCTTCTGACCTGAGCATGCCCCCTCAATTCTGCAGCCTGGCGCCTGTGACAAAGTGTTGACCCTAAGTAACTGATAAAAGGCAAAATATGAGTTGTGAGTAGTGAATGGAATCCTTCCTAAGAGATGGCAAGGCTCCAGGACCAGCATGGACACCAGTTATTTTGGTTTTTTGGATAAATGAAGGTTTCACAGGAAATTAAACATTTTAATCTATGGCATGAGTCACTGGGCTTTGACAGATACAGGTGATTAAAATAAAGGGTGACAGCGCCTTGGAAACAGCCTGGATTTAGGCACAGATGTCAGGCTCTGAAGCAAGCAGGTGGCCATGAAATCACAGCACTCCACCCGTGTCCCCTGTCTGCAAATGACATTTCCAGAGAGGGAGTATCTGGACATCAGTGGAAACTTCTCTATACATCCCAGGAGGAAATTTTCAAAATGGAAGGAACTCCATCAAAGGGATTCTTGAAAAGTCACGGAATTTTAAATCATGAATTAAATCTTTCATTCACATTCCATCAGGCATTTACTAACTCCCAAGTCTTGCAGGTTTAAAGATGATCCACACGCTGCCGTGGTTGGCTAAACATTCAAATGCAACGTAGGTCATCGGGGAAGCTGGTGGCGGGTTGTATAAAGACAAAGGTCCAAAGGCTTCTATTCGGTCTCAGCCACCAGATGAGGGCACCCTGCTGTCAGGTGTTTTGGTATTTCTCAGGACGAAGCCACCCTGGGATGACAGAGGTGTGGCCACTGTGATGCTGACCTGCCCTTTCCTGATGGACAGGGAGCAGGCCCGACCTGGGGCCGTCACTGGCAACGTTTATCCATGGCTGTTGGCCCTTTCTCCCATTTGGTACCAATGCCTTCCAGCAATTTCACATCCATTCCTTCCAATCAGAACAGGCCTACTGTAATCAGTAGGCCCTCACGTTTGCTGAGTAGAATTTCAAGTATAGGCAAGTTGGTAGCAGAATATTCGAGGGCAAGGAGGATGCTGACTTCACCCTGGACCAATACTTCTCAGGCAGGGGCAATGTTGCCCCCCTAGTGCCATCTGCCAGTGTCTGGAGATATTTTCAGTTGTGACTGGGTGGAAGGGGGTGTCCTTTCGGTCATTCATGGGTAGAGGCCAGGGCTGCTCTTGCCAATAGCCCTACAAAGGCACAGGGTAGCCCCCGCAGAAAAGAATTATTGAACCCAGAACGCCAGGCGTGTGAGGCTGAGAAACCTGCACTTTTACTCATCTGCTCAAGATGTGGTCAGGGCCGGGGCACCACCATCACCTCGTTAGAAATACAAACCCCGGGGGCCTATCAGGCAGGGCCACTTTTCAAGATGGCAGAGGATCTGAGACTGAAGGACTCCACTCCTGGCTGACCATGGTTTCTTTGAGGACAGTGGCTTGCAAACAGCTTTCAGCTGCTTCTCTCAGTAAGAAACGTATTTTACCATGAGTTCCGGCTTACACACAGGCAAGAAAATGTGTCATGCAATTTCATAAAATCGAAACAAAGGTTTCCCCTCAAATAGTTACTTCCATGTGCTTTGTACTCTGATACTTCCTATTCTCTGCTATTTCATCAAAAACCAAAACCCGCTGGCCCAACGTGTCCTGGGAGGTTCACAACCTGCATTTTTTGTGTCCGGTTAATAACAAGGATGGGGGAGACCGGTCATCGAGGAAACGCCTGGCACCCACCTTCTGGCCCTGCACACCTGGGTTCCCAGGTAAGCCGTTAAACCCCGGGCGACCTGGAGTCCCCGGAGGCCCCATGTCTCCAGGTAAGCCGTCAACACCTGTTTTGAAAAGTCAAAAAAAAAATCACTCCAATTCCAATTCCCGTACCCACTTTCTTCACTTTTAGTCTTGCCCAAATGTGCCGACCTGGCCTGAGACAGTCACCCGCGGAGGCCTTCGGAGCTGGCTGGAAGAGGCCAGGAGAGACTGCCCAGCAGAGGGGGCAGGTGCGTAACTGCCTCTTCCAGCACCTGCCCCCTCCCATCTCCTCTCTTCAAACCTCTCCCTCCCGCCCTACTCTCCCCAAACAAAACAAATACACCCCTTGGCACCTGCAGATGAGAAGGGCACTTTTACTCATCTGCTCAAGATGTGGTCAGGGCCGGGGCACCACCATCACCTCGTTAGAAATACAAACCCCGGGGGACTATCAGGCAGGGCCACTTTTCAAGATGGCAGAGGATCTGAGACTGAAGGACTCACGGCCACTGTCTGGGCCCCACCCTGGAGGTTCCGAGGGGCAGTGAAGCTGGCCAGCCACTAGTTCACACCCTGTGTATGCAACACCGGGGTCTCCAATGTCCAGTCATTTGTAAGTTTGCAGTGGCACAGGCCCGAATCACATCCCCTGTGGGGCTCTGCACAGACAGGTTGTGACGGCAAGTGGCCCTCACCACCCTCCTCACTGCCACAAAGCCAAGCCACTCCATGCCACGTGGGCCACGGCCGCTCATGAAGGAGACCTTGTGTGAGGCAATGATAGAATATGAAGCAGTAGTGAACGTGGCCAGCCCTCAGCTCCTGTCCCTCGTGAACAGGGACACTCTGCTGCCCTCCAAGCCTGAGGGAAGTGGCCACGTGGGTGGGTGGGCGTGGCGTGGTGTGGCTATCAGAGGACAGGGGCTGTCGTCTCCTGTTCTTCTCGCTAGAAGCCTACAGCAGTGAGGGGGATGGGGCCTGGCCTCTGGGGAGAGAGCCTGGGAGACTGGAGGACATTAACCTAAGTTTGGCCGCACGGCGTGTGGCACGAAGACAAACTTCCTCATATGACACGCCCCTTTTGTGCTCACAGCTCCTTCTCCTCAGTCCTCAACAGAAGGGCCCTGATGACAAGTCTGCTAATCAGAGTCTACCTGAAGGACAAGTAGATCCCAGAAATGTGAAAAGGGGCGAAAAGAAATTTCCCTCCTTACCTCCTTACAGTTTCCAGCAGGAAGTGATGGCTCTAACACCCGTGAACGCCTCCCCCAGGGCAAAGCCCCCTCCCCGCGACTCCCTGCACCTGTTGCTGGGCGCTCCCCCAACTCCCAACCCACCCTGGCCGTGTTCAGGTGGACTGCAAGTCCTCCTCATGGATAAAAACGAACACCTGGAGCCTGGGTTTCCACCAGTGCCGTGGTGGCAATGCCCGTGAAGCTTACCCTGCCTTCACGTCCCATCTTCCCAAGCAAACTCTACATAGCAAGGCAGCCATGGCACAGAAGCCACTGAAGTCACTGTCCTCAGCCCTGCCTGCCTGGGCTCTTCTGAAAGCCTCCTGAACAGCAGGCACCAACTTGTGTGCCGTTTTTATGTTTACTGCCTCTTTTCTCACAAAAGTCACAGGCTTGTCTGGCAGGGTTACCTTTGGGGCCAGGGGGCCCTGGAAATCCAATCCCCGGCTGGCCCACGGTGCCCTTCTCTCCCGGCAGGCCTGGCCTTCCTGGGGTTCCAGGAAAGCCTCGGTCTCCTGTGGTGGGAAAGACCAACAGTCAGCTTGAGGAAAACGGGAGGACGCTCTCGTGGTATCCCATTGAACTGGAATTCCAACTGTACCTTGGGGACCTGGGAATCCTGGGGACCCCGGCAGTCCTTCTGCTCCAGGGGGGCCTGGTAAAGGAATTACTTTTCCTGCTTCACCCTTTGGGCCTAGAAAAAAGAAGAGTAAAGAGAAAAGATAATGAGGACCACACGGAGCAGAGAGAGGACATGCAGTGGGTGCGCTGCCGCACCAGTCCCTCCCAGCACCACGTGTAGCAGAGAGCAGAGCCCGTCTGAGCTCTCCACCTCTTCCCTCGGCAATTCTAGGATCCCTCACAGAGAGCTACGCTTCCCCCCAAAACGTGTGTCCAAAATGACCAAGATGTTTGTTGGACACTATAATTCCTTAAGAGTCCACAATTAAGACTCACGAAAACAACCGTGAGATGGCTCTGGGTGACTTCTTAGTGAGCCTGTCCCAAAAGCCAAAGCACTTTTGCTGTTGTCTCTCAATTTAGCAAAGTCTAAGTTGCTTTGAGGCTGACCTAAATTACGTTCATTTGGTGGTAAATTATCCAAACAACATGATCCGCAGGTGATTATGAACGATCCATTAACCGTAATGGAGCAGGAGGAGAGCTCTGCGGTCACTTGAGCAGCGCGGGAAAAAACCATCCTTCCTCCCACGCCAGGAGGCGCAGCCCCAGCCACTCATGCCTAGGAGAGCCACTGCAGTGTCAGGATTGCACTGTCAAGAAAGGACCCAAGGGTTCTCCTCCAAGAATGCACGCACCGAATCTTCATATACCTTGTAAGAACCCAAGCTACGTGGAGCCTCCCGAGAACAGCCAGCACATTCTTTAGCTAGACTATAGAAAACGCCAGCTGACTAACCCTAGGAAATATCTGCTGTTGGTGACGCACACCCCTGGGCGCCAGGGTTTTATGATCACCACAGTTAAACACAGCTCTGGCAGATCAGAGACAGTCTTTCTTCTAATCTCGAAGCTGACTGGGTCTGGATGGCCGAGGAGCCCTGCAGCTGTGGACAGAGGTGCAACGGCCCGCCCCACTCTCCAGAAGCCTTCTTCCCCATCTGCGAGGGTACATTTGCGAGTACTCCAGTTGGTTTTTCTGATGGTAGTTTCTCGCCAAAAGGAAGGCTGATTCCCTTTGACAGCTCTGAAAGACGGCAGATGTCACAAGCACAAAGACAGCACTTGATTTGTTGACTGTGGAATCAAGAGTCGCAGGGAAAGTGATCCGGAGTCCCTGTGCCTGGTTCACCAGGGTCCTCCTCCATTAAACCCGGTATCACCCTACCTCTAATGGAGTCAGAGACATTTCTAGGACCCTTCTAACCAAAGAACAATAGTCAACAGAGTCAGAGCTTGATGCTAAGTACCCACTGATTATAGAAACAGGGAGAAGGATAAGAGCAACAGTTATGTTAGCACACTACACCTGGGCTGCCCTCAAACACTGACATTTCCTATGCTGGAGTGCTTAGATGCTTAGGAACGGGACTGTGTGTGTGTGTGTGTGAGTGTGTGTGTGTGTGTGTGTGTGTGAAAGAGACAGAAACTCGCTCTGTCATCCAGGCTGGAGTGCAATGGCGCGATCTCACTCTGCTACCTCCGCTTCCTAGATTCAAGAAATTCTCCTGCCTCAGCCTCCCAGGCAGCTGGGATTTCAGGCGCCGGGGTTTCACCATGTTGGCCAGGTTGGTCTCGAACTCCTAACCTCAGGTGATCTGCCAACCTCAGCCTCTCAAACTGCTGGGATTATAGGCATGAGCCACAGTACTCAGCCTGTACAATGCATATTAATAAGGAAAAATTAGTCCCTAATGGGAACAGGATTTGATAAAACAGGCTAAATAGGGTTATGGACATAATCAGCAAACTTGTGAGCCAGAACGGCATGGCATAATTGCTCCAACACGGTTCTTCCTGGACACTGAAACATCCAGCTACTTAATTAGTAACTGTTTTTTAAGGCTTACTAGTTACATATTTTTCATCACCGTAAGTCCTTTCACTCACTTCTACAACTTTCTGAATGCTTCCTAGCAACACGGATTTACTTCCCTCATCTACACACAAGGCATCCCTGGCCTCTCCTCGTCTCATTCCAGGATTTTCTAGGGAAGAACAGGAGTGCTCCATGTCTACTGGGAATCGCAGTCAGACAATAACCTATTAGCACCTGCCCTGCGCAAGGCCCAGCACCACAACCCTCTCCCGCTGGCCCTGAAAATAAGCAAGTCACGGGAGAGGAGAATGATGAGGGAGACCACACTCATCCCAGCTACAGGTTCTCTGAAAAACCTCTGGACAGGCTGTGCAGGAGGAAAGGGACCGAGTTTGCCATTTTTACCACATCTTGTCAATGCTCAGCACAGACTTTGGTGCATGATTAACTCAAAAAACAGCAGACAACAAAACCGCCACGGAATGAAATCGCCACCACGGTGGGACCTCCGTACGTCAGTTCACAGGCGTCTGCCGACTGTGAAGAGACGGAGCTCACACCACTCGGGATACACAGAAGCCAAAGCGGGCTGCTCATCAGAGAAAGCCAAATGGGTAAGGAGAGGAAGATGACTTGACCTCGGAGCGGCTTCCATGTAAAGGCTGACTGTAGCTGGCACCTGCTGTATACCCACTTATGAGGACTGCAGACTCAAGTTCTTTTTAGGGAGAACCTGCAAGTTCCCTGGCCCATCATACATGATGGAACATGTATGAGGAAAGGGAGGCATAAAAAGGCTGAAGCCTTGCCCAGATCCTGCCCCACTTCCTGGAAGAATGGAAGTCAAGCGTGTGCCCTGGCTTGTCTGAACCCCGGCCTCGTGTGCACACGAGGTACCTGTCGTGCCTCTGTTTACAAATTCATGCTGCACCGCGAGTTTCTCAGGCCTCACCTGGCAGGCCCGGGGACCCAGGATTTCCAGGAAAGCCTGCTTCTCCTTTGTCACCAATGGGACCAGCAGGACCATATCCTGGGGGCCCAGGGGGGCCGGTGTCACCACGACTGCCTGGGAATCCAACCCCTCCAGGGGGGCCACGCTCTCCTTTCAATCCCACGGAACCCTGATGTGAAAAGAGGAAAACACACCATTATCAGAGACAAACCCACACCTGCCCTTATCACATTCTTCTGTCATCTGTGGTCAATGAGTACTAGAGTTAACTGGCCCACACTATTTAT